ATGGTACAGCGGATGGTTAATAGCAAGGCGACGGAGTATAACACGGTGGGCTTGGTTCGAAACAAGGTTCAGAGCAAGGAGGACAAGGTTCAGGGCACGGTGGACAAGGTTCGGGGCACGGTGGGCAGGGTTCGGGGCACGGTGGGCAGGGTTCGGGGCACGGTGGTGGTGGTGTATACACGAGGGCAGGTCCGACGCAAGGTGGGACTAGACGCGGAATGCATATCGATGTTGGAGAGATGCAGGGCTCTCCTTGCTTTCCAATGCATACGGTGGCCCCACAGGCGGTACGGTAGCTTCGCCACGGTGCTGCTGATACATATCCGAGGAGAGCTAAAATTCAATTATTTAAAAATTTGTTAGAAAACATTTTATTAATAATTAAATATTTCTCATAGGGTCATGAAATCTCCACATTTTCTGTTTACTTTCGTACTAATATTGGTGCGTGTAAACATACGCGCATATTGAGTTAAAACATCAGTACAAATTGCATTTGAGTGTTATTGTAACAAACCATTCTCTGACGTTGAATTTCGTCCTATCTTCAAATATTTATGACAAACGTGGGAGGCCTATTTTTCAGCAGTTGACTTTTAATAGGCTATTATAAATAAAAGAAAAATAAAACGAGCTTACAGTCAACCATTTAGTAAGTGGCTAATGCAGCATATAGACACTGGAAAAAAAACATCAAACAAAGAAGTCTATAGGTGAGTTTTCATCACTTAGGACTGAGCCATGCAGATATAGACATTCCAAATGTCTATGATCTTTACTGGCTCTCTATACCCTTTAGACTGAAGCAAGGCAGAGCACGCAATTCTGCTTGATCGTAGAAATAGCTGACACCCTGTCTGTTCCCGTGTCTACTCAGAGGACTTCTAGGTAGAAAAGAAGTCATACTTTCTAAATAGAATAATTGTTAATTAAAAATTAATCGATTGCTATGCTTACCAAATAAAAAGAGCGTTGAGAACCCCATGCCTGCCAACTGTTACTTTATAGTTTTTTACTGTCCTTTTATATGCGTTCTTTGATAAAAATGTTGATATACGTCTGATGCTCCATCATGCGTAACTTATCGCTGGACAAGGTCAGACGTTGTTTTATTTAATGCTAAATTAGATTAAATGCATTTATTTTACTGAATTATTTTACGTGGTAGAGCCATGCTACAGCTATATTATAGTTATAGCTTTGCTCCCTCCCCGGTGAAACTGAGCCATTCACTATTATAGCGAAGGTTTCGGCTTCACTGGGGAAGGACCAATGCTAATCACTTAGCTGCGACGTTATGGCGTCGTGTGTTTTGTTCCCGCCCAGAGCATATATTTGTGTTGTGCACAAGTAATTGTTCGGACCTAGATGTTTCTCCACATGTGTGTGACAACTTTTTAAAGCACGGAGACGGATAGAGAAAAGACGAAAAAAATGTTTAACTACAAAACTAAATTAATGGCGATCGTGGCTGAATTCAAGGATAGCGTTATCGTATATTTATTCAAACTATAAACTTTGTATGAAATGCTATTTAAATGTGATGAATTAATTAAGGTTATATGAAAATATTTTATGTTATATTCACAAACCATTTCGAGACATCAAATTCAAAGAAAAAATATTCACAATATTTTCTAAACCTTGAAGCGTATGCTAATTAAAGCGTTACATCATTTGTTTTAAAATCTTCATTTTTGATAAAAATTGATGACATTCAAATATATAAACATTTTATTTGTACTATGTATAAATATTGAAAATTTTACTTTTGTAATCAGACGACCACAAGATGGCTTGGGGTAAAGTAGTTTGGTTATCAGGTAATTACATATTTCAATTTTATTTTAATAGGACAAATTTTAATTTTCGTATTATGCAGGAAAGACATTTATTTCTTTATATTATATTATCTTTCTGTCGTCTTTTCTTTAGATCAAAAATATCGCTACTATTGATAGTAGCGATATTAATATATATTATAATTTGAATTCTGATCTGTATCTCAATCGTTTCTCTAGAAGATTATGGAGCAGATAAGAGTCCGCTGCTCCAATGTAGATAGCAGATTTCATCAATCCTCGGCTTTTTAACGAAATGCGTAAAAATACAAAGTTTTTAAACTTTAAAATTACTATCAAAATGCCCAACTGATTTTTAATGTTGCGTACCTATGCCAGATTAAATGATCTTTAATGCCAAAATAAAAACAAACAATATGTAGTAATATGACTTTAATAAAGTCACCGCGTATCTTAATAGGATATAACTACTTATTTATTTTTATATTTTGTACTTTGCAGCTCTTATTTTGGGCACGACTTTAAGTCAACCGATACCTGGTCCAGATCCTCAAATTTCTTACACGGAAAATCCCCCTTGTGAACCCTGTGAGCCAGAACCTCCATGTGCACCTAGTGATCCATGCTCACCTCCGTGTTTTAATGACAATGACGTCATCAAGATTGGACCTTGCAATCCTTGTGAGCCAACTGTTAAATATATGTATGGTCAAGCACCCCAAGGTAAGGTTAAAAGTGTTTATGCAAACTAAATTATTTAAAAATAACCAAAATAAAATCAAACAATATGAAGTAATATATTCAAATTTAATAACAATAGGTTCAGTAATCTTAAGACCTGGTCAAATTCGGTTTCGGGCACCTTCTCCAATAATTGTCCGACCAGGAACTATCCGTCTGCCTACACCGCCTGCAATATGGGTGAAACCACCACCAGTTCAACCAGCTGCCCCAGCTCCAATATACGTGAAGCCAGACCCAGTGCAACCGCCTACCCCAGCACCAATTGAAGTCAGGCCTAAGCCTGTGTATCCACCTCGGCCTGCTCCTATTGTTGTTAAACCTGCGCCGGTTCAACCACCAAAGCCTGCTCCAATTAAAGTACGAATTTTTGATACTTCTTGAATACCATTTTTTTTAAATAATATTAATTGTTTTAAATGAATTTGCTTAATAAAATGTGAGTTTTTATTATGTTCCTCTTTAGAGACAAATTATTTTATGAAAAAATTTCAGGTACAACCACCTCCAATACAGCCACCAGCACCGGGATTGCTAGTTGTGAAACCTCCCAGCATTACAGTACCGAGTCCACCTATCATCTGCTTCCAACCAAACCCTCCGTCTCGCTTTAGAACTTCAGGCTGCGCGATCGTTTCCTTGTACCAACCACCGTGTTCAACTGAACATTCTCCACTGACACCTTGTATCCCACCATGTCCTTCTCGGTGAATTCCGTCCTATGCATAGCTATTCACATGATTACATTTTAATTAAATATAATATATAATATTTATGTATATAATCTACTTTATAAGCTACATTAACAATGCATGTGAGCGATTGAAATAAAGTGCGGGTATTGTGAAAAATAACGGAGTTTTGATTTTAATTGATTGAAATTATTTGCCCCGACATTGATTTAGAAACGGTTGTATGATTTTTCTTGATATTGTATAGTAGAGTAACTTTCCAATTAAATTAGATAGACAGACCTGTGAAGCTTCTAGTAATCTTTGGAAATATTACTGCATTCACTTAGGTCAGCAAAAAGAAAGAAAGAATTACTTTTAGTTATATATATTATTAATTTATGATCGTGTGGTAATGGCGAAAAAGAATGTTTCGAATCGCCAGAATCATCCTGCAGATACTGTAGAGACAAGTATGGGAACAGATATTATTGCTTCTTATAAATGGTGGTATAATCGTCTCGTATATGTCCGATGTAATTCTTGTGTATCCTGATGTGACTAGTGTTATGTGTGTTAGGTTCGGTAAACTTAATTTGATTAGTCTAGTTAGGGTCGTGCTGTACTATAAATAAGCTATGAGTATTAGAAAGATCCACATAAGTAAATAGTTATACAATATTAGGTATATTTATATATTTTTTAACAATATAAATTTTTTTTTCAATTTTCACTTAATTATGGTATAACGCACACAATAGCGACAGGAATCACTAATATCCGTGTCAAGCATGTTGGTTATAAGAAATCCTTCCGGCAGTGGTTTAAGAGCATATTCAAACCCTGCACACATAATTAAAAAAAAATTAGTAAAATTTGACAAAATTATCCAAGTCTTAATTTTAAAAAAAAATACTTTAACTATTGTTTTTAATGCATGTCTTCTAGTAGCATGATATTGACCGTGGAATATGTTTACATTATAAAAAAATAAATGTGTGATGGTAATGGCCGCCGCTTCGCACTGGAGCAACTGGGAGAACATTTCTCTGCCTTATAGGGTAGAAGTCCTGTTATTCTCTTAGATATAAGAGGAGGGCACTACCCGTTGCAACTATTATAAATAATAATAATTATTATTAAAAACTAAAAAAAGTAAAATTTCTGGTATTGTCACGCTGCATCTGTGTAATGACCGCAGTGCGAGTAGGTCGACTTGACCGGGGAGGAAAGTAGTGCTCACTAAATACTATAGAAACATTTCGCTGCTGTATTTTTATATGGTTAACATAATATGATAGAAATGTATTAAATGTGATACAAATACAGACAAAATAAAAGTCTTTTACAGGCGTTGACTACGCTTAGACTGCAAGAAAGAATTCGATTCAAGAGAAAACGTTAGATTTTTTAAACTGAAAGAGAGGCGAGGCATTCGTTTGTATTTCTCAGGATTCGTAACATATCTGTATTTTTTTTTGTATTAGTATAGACCATTACGAGCTCGATCCAGTTTCTTTTTATGTACTGTGTATATATATTATAATAAAATCACATTCTTCCAGCCCATTTGCCATGTCTATAAAAGTATATAATAAATTACCCGAATATATAAAAAACATTTGTAAAAAAAATTAAAGCAACTACTTATATACAAGTGTTACTATAGTACTTTTGAATTTTATAAGATAAAAATATTATATAATATAGATATGTATATATAAATATGTTAGGTAATAATGAAACGTCATCCTACTAAATAAATTACAAAAAAAATTTAATAAAATTTAAAATGATTCAAATAATTTAATAAAAATTCAACTGTGCTAATTATGCTACCTATAATAATACATTAAATGTCAAAATCAATTAATAAATAATTACAATTATTATAGCCGTATTCCAAATTCAATGTATGTTTATATAATATAATGAATGTTCATCATCATCATCATCATTACAGCCCTTTACAAATCCAGTGCTGAACATAGGCCTCCTCCAAGGTATGCCTAAAGCACGGTCCTGAGCCACCTGCATACATCGACTTCCTGCATGCCTTACCAGGTCGTCTCTCCATCTAGTGACGGGTCGCCCTACACTTCACCTACCGGTACGAGGCTGCCACTCGAGAACCTTTGTGAACTTTTCG